GGACATAGAGGAGAGCTGCTTCCTGGCTTTCTCCCCATGGCTTACTCATCCCACTTTCTTTCCTTCTTCTCCTTCTTCATATCGATCCTAGTTCCCTCTCCCTCCCTCTCTCCCACCCCACCACCCTTCCATCCCATTCCCCCCACACACACTGCACATGTAGGGTGATGCCTTCCAGGAGGGGTCATCTAAATCTGTCAAGTCATCTGGAGTAGGGACTAGGCCCTCCCTCCTGACTCTAGGTTGAGGGAGTATCCCTCCATGAGGAATGTGCTCCCAAAGTCTTTTCCACATCCTGGTTCCACTATCTGAGATCCCTTAGACTGCCCAGGCCTTCTAGCTGAAACCCAAGTTCAGGGGATCTGAGTCGGTCCAATGCTGGATTCCCAGCTATCAATTTGGGAACCCAGAACCACCTGCACAGGGATGGTACCACCCACAATGGGCCGGACCCTCCCCATCAATCACTAATTAAGAAAATGCCCTACAGGCTTGCCTGTAGTGATTCTTAATTGAAGTTCTCTCCTCTCAGATAATTTTAGCCTGTGTCAAGTTGACATAAAACTACCCAGAACAGAAAGCAATCTCATTTCAGCAAAGCATAGCACAAAAAAAAAAAAAAAAAAAAAAAAAAAAAAAAAAAAAAGCTATTTTATCAGGTTCAGATTCAACAATTACTTCTTTTGAGACCCCAGCAGCTTCATATTCTTACTGTTAGGATTCAGATTGTAAGTTTCATGCTCTTTCCAATGCACTCTGGTAACAGCAAGCAACCCTGCCTTAGCACAAAAACCTCACATAAAAATAAAGATTTATCCAATAGAAGAGGGTATAAAGTGAGAAGAAAGAAAACCTTACTTTTCTATCTGCCTCAGTTTTGGACTTGAGATCATTTATATCACATAATTGCATGTTTTGTAGTACTTTTACAAGCACAAAACAGGCCCTTTACAGCAATATATACTAGTCAGGTCTTTCAGTTGCTGTCAGTCCTAACAAAATTCAAATGCCTTACATGGCTGCCTCTAATATGAAGGGGAAACCTATCAAGCAAGATGCACAGGGTCCACAAATGAAGACTATGAGGCCTGGTAGATTAATTTTCACTACTTCTTGTTGTTTGTTTGTTTGTTTGAGACAGGTTCTCACTCTGTGTCCTTGACCAACCTTGAACTCTCTAGGTAGACCAGGCTGAACTAGAACTCACATAGAAGAGATCTACCTACTTCTGCTTGCCTAGTGCTGCGATTAAAAGTGTGCATCACCATGCCCAGCTCCTATTCCACATTTCTGTAAGAAAATTAACCTTCAAACGTCACTCACTAACAAGCCATGACTTTGATAAGGCCCTCAAGCAATGGCTTTACTTATCACCAAAGGTAACTACTTAGTTCTAGTTTTACAGAAACTTGTTCAGAAATTATACTTTTGGAAGCCTGGAGAAATTTTATACTTAAGAAAACATTGTTAGAAATCTCAGATTGGGTTCTATGTTAAGAAGGTAGGATTTAATTACTGACATTGCTAACTCTTTTATAATATTTTGATTTCCAAAAACATATAGTTCCAGTGGACCACAAATTTCAAAGAGTCATCCCAGCATCTATCTGAACCTTCTTCCTCTGGACCAAGTTGAAGAGAGGCCATTTTGTTTGTTTGTTTGTTTAAATCTGAGCACTGGCCTTAGCCCTCAGGAAATATGAATTTGTTGGCTAATATGAAAACTAATGAAGATGGATTTTGATAAAGCCCAATTTTACTGCACATGTTTTAGGGTTTATGTTCTACAGGCAGGTATTAAAATCTATGTAAGCTAAAATGGATGGACTAGTCAAGAGAAGGAAGAACCTTTCAATGTTTACCAGAAACAGAGCTGTGAGGTCTTCCATTGACTATCGGTTAAGTGTCCCACTTTACCAATCCCCCCCACAAACTTAATCCCTGAGCTCATACTATCTTTAAGGGGTACTCCTTGATTATAGCAATCTCGGAGAGCTTTGTCAGAAGTCAAAGTTCACTGATCTCCTGACAAGTGCTTCTCTTGAGTGCTTAGTTTTACAGAATTTCCCTTTGAGAATTTCCTTTTGGCCTCTTCTGTGTAATCACCAACACTCCAGCCTGCTCAAACCTGTCAGAAAAAAAAATTCCCCTTGCAAACCTCCCTGGAAATACTGCAGCTTCCACAGCCAACCTTAGCCAAAATCACTCCACACTATGGATCACTATAGAACCTAGCCTGAATATGCTCTCCCTCTCTCCTTCCCCTCTCCTTCCTCCATTCCTTCTCTCCCTTCTCCCTCCCCTAACCCTTCTCCCCTTTCTTCTTTCAACATCATGAACCAATCATTTCCTTGGTGAGACATGTCTTTATTTAGTATATCACAGCATATTGGCCTGGGTTAGGAGATGGAAATGCACATATAAATACCTCCTAATAAGAAGTACTCTGTGGTTTAGATATTTTCCCCAACAATGTTCATTTCGTTTTTCACCACAACAACAATGGCATCACCTTGCATGTCTAAAGGACTCTTCACCTTAAGTTTTGAGAATAAGTCTGAATGCTAACTGAGGATAAGTTCAAGAAGCAAAGACTCTATTCTGCCCTTGAACTTAAAATATATACATTGCAGTTATGACCTCTTTCTCATTCCTCATCCTCGAAGGAACAAATGCTTTCAGGATCCAAGGAAGCCACTTTGAAAAGGCAGTTGCCTGTCACCTAGGAGACATTTCTCAACACACTCTCTGATGCACTGGCAACAACTATAAGGGAATGTGGTCAGCATTGGGAATGAGGAGATCAGGTCAGATGCCTATTCATAAAGACACCTTCTCGCTCAGGCTTTCCCCAAGTAGAATCTAACATAGGTGAATGTCTGTCGACAAATAACAAAGTGGAGGTGTGAAGAAATGGGGAAGATAAAAGTCCGGATTTGATCTCATGATGTTGACTTGTTCGCACTTTGCATTGGATGTGCCCACTGGTGCAGCAAAACCGTGGACCAAACCTTAAAACCTCCTTGCCCTTCTTGGAACCCTGCGGCTTCAGCTCACACCAGCACCTTCCCCTCCCGTCTCTTTCCCAGGCTGGGTGTCCTTTGTGGGTCCCAGTGGGACTCTCATACCCCCTCCACTGAGAACACCCGCGGGCGCCTTTGTCACTTTCTAGGTCCTAGCCCATTCTTGGCTTCCAGAACAGTATGCCCTTCATGGCCTGGATTGAAGTGGGAATTCTAATAAGTAGAAAGTTCATGCTGCATCTCTGCAGTGGCCCTCAGCTCGTCTCCTACCTGCCCGTGGTGTTCGGTGTCGTGGTCCCTCGCCCCACAGACTCACCCTATTCTTGTGTGCCACATGCCTATCAAAAGTGAGGCACCCAGAAACTGTCGGGTGATCAGGGACTGGCAAGGTCGCCCTGCTGCAGGCAGGAGAACAAAGTGCTTTGACTCTCAAGAGACTAGGTCTGCAGTGTGGAAACCGAGTGGATTCTCTGGACGTGCGACCCAGGCCTCAGAGCCTGGGTGGAGAGAGACTCACGCACCCATTCTTGACACAAGGCCACAGGGGTCTGTGACTCTGGGACTGTGACCATCGGGGCAGGAATCCCTAAAGCTACCCGACCCTCCAACCCCCATCAGCCTCGCCCCCCAGGAAGTAGCCTGCTACCACAGCATTTCTTATGCAGGGCTGTGAGTTTGTCTGGCAGCTTCTACTGAGCAGCTAATAGTTTAACAACCCGGCTTTGATAAATCTGAACTAATTACCCCTCTTAATTAAAGTCTTTAGCAGTTGTTTCACTGTTTTGGCAAGAAAACAGGAGAGACTTGCAGTTAGAAAACACCAGAGCTCCAGCACACAGAGGAGCTGCTGATTAACACTTAAAGCGTTTCAAGGACCTGGCACCCGCCACGGTTTGGTTTTCATCCATGTCTCCTCCTTGAATGGAAGCATACTCGGCTATAAACATGTGCACATATCTAAAAACATACAGGCTGTCTTTGCCAGCTGTGTTCCAGTCAGTATGTGTCTTCAGAATGGTGGAAATGCACACAACACGGCCTCTAGGTACAATGTCCCCTGCCTTTGTACCACAAATCTACCAGAAGATCCATGCCAGAGTCTTGTTTCTGTTAGACACACAGCTTCCATCTCAGGGTTTCATCACATATCATAACCTCGACCAAAGCATAGGGAGAGACTATTTGCATATGGTAAATATTCAGATCAAATTAGTTAGCATTATTTTTTTTTAAAAGATGAGTACAGGTGAGAAAGTCGGATCCAGGGATCTTTAGCTGAATAACACAAAGTCTTGAAGTTTGTTGATTAAATAAGCATGTTCCAAGTATTTATTTCCAACAGTCAATGAATCAACTTCGACGTGCAAGAATGAAAACCAAAATTCAAATTCATCCATTATGAACCACTCTTATCTAATGTGCACGTGTGTGCATGTATGTGTGTGCTCACAAACGTGCCTTCACGGGCACACACATCTGTGTGTATATAGAACATACACACTGTGTTTTGTTGCTTCAGGGAAGGAGAAAATTATAAACAATCAGCAGGCATTTTAAGACAGTAGAATCGACACAATGGAAATATATACAACAATAAAATTAAAATGGTGCAGCATTCCCGGGTAGAATAATACAGATCTCAATAAATACAGCAGATATTTGTTTAAGAACGAAACAAAACAAACATCATCTCTCCACCCGAGATGAAGTCTTTTCAACTTAAAAATATTGAAATAAGCCCCTCCAAATGTAGCATAATTGTTAGTGCCTATATAGAATATAATACACAAAACCATTTAGCAGGTGCATGCAAGAGGCGAAAGGCCAAGGTATGAAGAGGCTTCCGGTTCTCCCAAAAGTGAGGGGCCCAAGTGCCTCGGTTTTTGCAGGTCAGCCTAGACCAAGAGGTCCGCCCTATTCAGCCGACCTCCGCTGTGGGGGCCCTCCCGCTGGGATTGTGGGGGATCTTTGCCTCCTTCACTGGTGACCTTGGTGAAGCCCGGGTTGCAGAGGCCCGGGAGGCGGCAACGCTGGTTGCCGCGGTGGCAGAGTTGCTGGCGGTGGCTGTGGCAGCTGGGGCGGTGGGTCGCTGCCTGGCTCCCCAGTAGGAGTGCGTGTCAGCCCCAGGCTGCTGTCGTGCAGCTTGCGAACGTGCTTCTTGAGGTCAAAGTTCCTGCAGAAGCCCTTGCCGCAAGTGGGGCAGGTGAAGGGCTTCTTGTCATTGTGAGTGTGCATATGGAAGGTGAGGTTGTACACCTGGTGGAAAGCCTTGTTGCAGATGTTGCACTTGAACTGCTTCTCCCCGCTGTGGGTCAACTTGTGGTTTTTGTAGTTCCCTGAAACAGGAAGGGGGGGGGGGGGGAAATGTCCGGGATAAGGTTCTGAACAGAGCTCGAAAAGAAGATAAAGGATGCAAAAAAGGTAAGGGGGCAGGCTGAAGAGCCATCAGATCTCTGACCCAGGGTGCCCGGCACTGGTTCTCCTAAGTTTATGGGTAAGCACTTTGAGTTTATTTCTTCTACATGTCAATACACACCCATCTATCCAGATATGCCAAATGAAAGCTAGAGGTTACAAAGAAGTACCCTTTGATGTCAGAAGGCAGCCTTCCTCAGCTAAGCAGTTAAACTTCACTTAGAGGTTTGGTTTTGTTTTTGAATACCCCGAGAAGATTCAGTACAGCTTTCCTAAGACTCGCTATGAGAAGACATCTCCTGGGTCCGATACCTTTTTGATGAAACCCTTTGCCACAGAATTCACACACGAATGGCTTGTAGCCGGCATGGATCCGGGTATGCGTGTTTAACGTGGAACTCCTATTAAACGCTTTACCGCACTGGTTACACTTGTGAGGTTTTTCCTAAGCAGCAGAAAGAACGGGAAGAACAGAGAATTTAATTTAAGGTACTTTGTTATTATGATGTAGAGTCCTCGCAGCACAATACAGGAACAAAAGCAACAAAACAAGACATCTCCCTAGTCCAGCTCAACAGATCTTATGGCAAAGAGTGAGGCTCTATGGACCGGTTTTTGTTTGTTTGTTTGTTTGTTTTTGGAGGGGAGAGGGGGCAGCAAACAGTTCCGAAATCTCCCCGGGGAAAACTGTGACAGAGGAACATACCTGCGTGTGAATGATTTTATGCCTGCAAAGGGTGCTGGCTTGTCGGAAACCTTTCCCACACACTTTGCAAACGAAGGGTCTGGCTCCTGTGTGCACCGGCATGTGACGGGTTAAGTTATAGTGCGCATTAAAGACCTTAAAATGAAACACATAGAAAGCAGGTTAGCTAGACAAGAGATTCGAGTTCGAAGTGGACAGAAGGAGGAAGGTGGGGGGCAAAATAAGTTTTACCCCCATTCTTCAAATACTAAAATGGAAGCAAAGGAGGGAGAAAGGCAAGAAAGAAGAAAAGGAAGAGGAAGGGAGGGAGGGAGGAACTTCTTTTTTGCATAATACTTACCTTTCCACAGACTTCGCAAGTGAAAACTTTGGGTTTGGCATTAGGAGAGCCGCGGCTGAAATCTGAGGTTTTGAACGCTATTTTTTCTGACAAAAGTTGGGCGCTTTCTTTCATGTAATGCTGCAGCTGCGCCTGGGACAGGTCTTTGAAAGCTACACCCGAAGGGAGCTTCTCCACCGCCGGTACAACCAGTTTATTCCTTTCGGCTAAATATGTTTTTGGCTGTGGGTGCAAAGGGGAGCTGAGGAAATAGGAGGCCACGGGGTGGATGTTCACGCCAGCAGCCGGGTGGCACGGGCCATCACCTCGGTTCAGGTAGCACAGGGCGCCCATGGCATGGAACGAAGAGTGGTTGACCACACGCGGCCTTACCAGCTTGTACTGCTGCAGCGGCAGCGTGTCGCGGGCCAGGTCGCCCTTGAGACTTAGCGCGCAGTTGAGCAGGTCGCTGCAGCTGAACGCCGGCGCCGAGGGCGCCACCGCGGGCGGCGCCGGAGCCTCCAGACTCGCCTTGCGGGGCTCGGAGCCAGTCACTCCGGCTTTGGAGTTCGTGTCGTACGCCACGGGGACGAAAGGGATCATGCAGGGGATCGACGAGTTGAGATGCAGAGAGTGCTTGGGGTCTCCTTTGGGCACGGCTCCCTGCAGGAAGTGGGGGACCGGCAGGGCCTTAGGCTCAGGGGTCCGCGCCATGATTCGTTCGATGGAGAAAGCCAAGGGTTTGGATGTGTTCATCACGCTGCCCCGAGCTGGAGCAGTCGCTAGCATTTTGGTGGTCGCGTTGAGGCAGCTACCGTCCATGACTGAGTTGCCAGCTTCCGTCCGCCGGGGTTGGGTGGCACGGTCGGTCGTTGCCTCGTCCCCAGCTTGTCACAGACCTGCGGAGAGGACAGGCACCGTCACCACCAGCAGCCTCCTCCTCCTCCTCCCCAGCATCACCAGCCGAACCTGCCTGCCCAGCCCAATGGACTCCTGCCAGCCCATCGCAGAGTTCTTGGCGCACCAATGACTCGGGGACAATCACTACTTATTTCTATCAATAGAAAGTGTTGTGTCAATAACGCAGCCAAGATCTCGCCAATCGTTAACTTCCAAGAGGAGAAGGTAAACTAGATAATTGCTCAATTCGCTTCCAACAGTCAACAGGAAAACTTTTTTTTTCTCTGCAGTCGGTGACTACTTTTCATTGGTGAGAGAGGATCCCCCGCCCAGAAGAGGCGGGGGCGCTCTCCGCAATGCGCCCTGCCCTCCCCTCCACGCAAGCACTCGCCCGCACACACTTCTCTACCCTTCAGCCACCCCTCCCCCTTGCTTCCTCTGTCTTTTTAATTCTCAATCTGCTTAACCAGGCTTTAGAGGCCAAGCAAATCTGAGATCAATTTTCTCGTTTAGCTCTAAGTGACATCATCTAAAATCATTGTGCTAGGGCTAAATAAGGAAACAGAGTCTAATTCAGGGGCAAATGCCAGGCTATATTTATCAAACGCCAGGCTCTAGACAGCCTTGACCAGGAAGCCTCTGAAGGCAAAAATCCGAGGTTTCTTTGCTTGGTTCGGCTGAGCACAGATCCGGCCACGCTGCCTCCTACGCAGCCCACTTTCGTCCTCCAGAACCCGGGGGCGCTGCTCGTTCCCTGAATTGGAGTCTCTACGGCTCGAGCCGCGTCTGGACCCTTTGGAAGACACCAGCAGGTAACTGGCCTCCCAAAATGCCCCCTGAGATTTAAAGGCCTTGGGAGGCTTGTTATGTGTTTGTGGTTTTGTAAAAAACGATGCCCATGGCAATTGTCCTGGGAAAGACGCACCAGCATCACAAAGTTGAGGAGTTGCAAGGAATAAGCGGGTGTCACACTACAAAAAACCTAGCCGCAGCCGCGGATCGGACTCACACACAAAAGCGCGCGAGAGCGCGCTTCCTTGAGTTTCCAGAGAGAACCCCCCAAAGGGCATTTCTTCAAAGAACTTGCTCCCTTAGCTCCTTCGGAACAGAGCGTTCGAGATGCTAAGCCGAGAAGGGGAATAGAATCTAAGATCTCCACCTCGGCTGCCAGCGGTGCTTGCCTCTCAGTAGCTGTCAGTGCCCGTGACACCTAGTGTGTCTGTGCAGAGAACTGAGCGAACCCTCAGCCCCAAGTGGTGACCACAGCTTCATTTGTGGCCCTCCAAAAAAACACTCGGCGACCCAGAGTGCATCTCCACGTCCCCCCCCCTAACCCCCCAGGGTGTCTGGCGCCCTCCCGTTGTGACGCCTGGGCCCAAATTCCCGGGGTTGAGCTCCGCTGAAGACGCCCGAGGCCGAGGCTCGCACAGAGCGGGTTCCCGCCGCTCCAGCCAGAGTTAGCCGGAGCAGCAGAGCGCGCTCCTCCGCGGCGCAGTCCGCGCAGAGCCTGCGGTCGCAAGGAGCAGAGCCCAGGGTCTGGGCATGTTCCTGGGGCTGCAGGTAGTAGGAAAACCCCGCGGCTCGCAAGCTAGCGCCCGAAGGAGCGCTAGCTGTGAGCCCGGACCCTCACCGCCTGGAGGCAAACTCCAAGCACCACTCGCCTGGTGAGTTACTCGAATGCTTGTGGACCGGGTGCCCAGGTATCTGGCCGAGAGTGTGAGGTGCTGTCCTCCGATGGGAATCCTGGAAAGGGCCAGCACTGGGCGGTGGGTGTGGTAGCCTGGGATTGTTGAACCCAAGGCCAATTTACTCAAAGGTGCCAAGTTGGGATTCAAATGGAGGCAATTGGCTTTCAAGTATTCCTTCCTCCATACCCCCTTTTCTAGCCCATGCCAATCCAGGGACGCAGGCTCTTTCAGCCCCACCCGGACTTTGCGTGAGCCAGTTCAGCCACTGCCAGGAAAAACGTAGAGAGAGGATTGTTGAGGGCTGACAGTGAGGCGGGACGCTGAGTGGCTCCTGGCAAAATAATCGCTCAAAAAATAAGGGCCGGCAGAAGTCTTTTTGAAAGGTGCCAGATGGTGGGAAAATCTAGCTGTTGGAGGCCCGCCTTAGTGGCTAGGCCAGGGAGTGTCTCATTTCAGGTATCCAGGCAGCTTCTGGAAGACCGGTGAAGCCCAGAAGCGCCGGAGTCCATCCAGGGCAGGACACCCTGGACAGAGAGGAGAAGGCTACATAAAACCCGGGAGACATCGTGGAGCCCTTTTTGGCCTCAAGTTTCCCTCAACTGGAAATGTTCGTTCGATTTACTTTTGGGGCCCCAGAACCTCGGCTCTTCACCCTGATCAGACAAAGGCTGCAGAACCCGAATAGCTTAAGGAAAGGCCAGGGGCGGGGATGTCCCTGTCCCACGACAGATGGGTAGAGGTTAAGACTTTAATTGTTGCCTTTGGGGGCGGATCAGATTCTCTTTCCTACCTGCCTTCCCAACAGCGAAAAATCTCCCCCCTGCTGCACTCCTCCCTCGCCGGTACAAGTTTAAGGAAGAAAGCAAAGAGGGGGAACAAACAAACAAACAAACAAACAAAAACTTCTGCGGTGCGGAAAGCCTTGGACTGCCCAACTGATTAGCTAGCTGATTTGAGCAACTCTCCAGCCTTTAGAGCGTTACCTGCCTTCTTGACTGAATACCACCAGTTTTTTTTTTTACATTTGTCCCTTCCCTCCCCCTTTCTTATTTCCCCTCCCCCTCCCCTCTCCTCAACAGGGGGAAAGGCCTTTATTTGCCTTCGATAAATTTCCTCTTCAGTGGACACTAACTTTAAAAAAAAAGGGAAAATATTAGCTAAGGGCTTTATATAGTTAACATTTCAATAGTTTGCTTTTCATTGGTCTTTCGGGATTTGCCTTTTCTGCCAAGTGTTTGAAAATGTCATTTGAGTAAATACAGCAAGGCACCAATTATTTCCTTTCTTTTGAGATAGCCCTGATCTTGCTAATCCCAAAGATCTGAGATGTGTTTTACAAATTCAAGTCTTAATATGCCAATATTTGTTAATACTTTCCACTCAGTGTATAACCAAAGCATGCATTAACGTTTAATATGCATTCCATAAGGTAAAGATTTTCTTAAAATACTGAATGTGTTTAGGAACGGGTTCTTAATGTCAGAGGTGAATACTTTGTTTTATTTACAATCATTTGAAATTACAGACAAAGTAATAGGCAGAGAGCATAAATTTGAAATTTTAGAAGCTTCTCAGAGATTCCATCAGTTAAAATTGTTTGCTTTACTTAAAGAAATATAAAGGAGCTTTGTTTGTTTAATTAACAGAAAAATAGAAACATAGGGAATCTTCAGAATTTCTTGGAGAATCCTATAATCTCCCTGGTTGTTGTTTGTTTGTTTAGATCTGATTTTACTTGCTCTACTCATCAACTTTAAATCCAGAATTTAAGTATTTTGGTTGGCAAGCAGGAGATATCCCAAGAATTCAGAACAGTCCTTGATATAAAGAGGCCTAATAACATAGTAGAATCAATACCTAATAAACAAGAAAAATCTTCCTATTGAATAACAACTGAAAGTTGCATTTTCCGTAGAATCTAATCTTATACTTCGATGTTTCTTTAACTCTGTTCGCCGTAATTCTCAAAGACTTGTATAATTTCCCTCAGACTTTTTACTTGGCCCCTGTCATAGCCTAATAGTTGCAGGGTAAAGATTATTGCCATCAGAAATTTAAAAAAAAAATACTATAAGTTTCTAAATATTCTGTAATCTTTGGCTATTTCCTTAATAAGTTACAAAGTACTGGTTAGCTTTTTCTTAATAAATTAATTAGAAAACATGGTAACATAGCAGATCCTTAGTCAAGGGCATTGGTTTCTCACTACTCATATTTTTGGGGTTTTCAAATCCAACAAGCATCCCTGACTTGCAACCCTCTACCACCAACAGTCATTGTTCTTTATTATTGTTATAACTATTATGGCATCCTAGATGTTTGGATGTTCCCAGCCTAATAAAATAACACAAAAGGCAGCGCAGATTACTTCTAGAAGAGGAACGGCATCCCTAAATTCCTGTACTGTCTTTGTCACGGATTGATGTTTCCTGGTCTCTTCTGGTGTGCAATAGAGACTGAGTGTTCTGATGGGACACAACTAAGGTCTGTATGGTTTAAGGAAGTAAACTTTTTTGAATACTTCAAAATAATTAATGGATACACAGTGGGACAAACTTGGCAGCACATAAACAAACAAGAGGAGAACAGCTTTGGATTTAAGGCTTCCTTTAGTTTATTTGGTGGCTAGTAAAGATCTTGATGGAGAAGGTGGGTACTGGAAGAGTTGGGGGGCGGACTTGGAGGTGAATGTGATCAAACCACATCGTAATAAATTATTATATAATTAATAAAAGTACTTGTTATAAATATTCCTTGATAATTTTGTATAGCATGTGAAGGGCACTGTCACCAGTTAGGACTCTGTGAACCAAAGAGCACCACCCCCCTCTTGGGGTGGGGGAGTTTGAGGGTAAGCAGTTTGTTATTTGTCTCTAGACCTTCGTTTTTTACTATTTATTTTATATTAAGAGTTCCTCTAAATTCAGTGAAATCATTCCCTTCAAAACAGCATTTGCATGTTAAATCAGTTTGTAAAGGGTAGTGAAACCTAACTTAGGACTGTTTTGAAAAAGGCGGCAGGTAACTCTGTCAGCCGCCTCTAGGGCTGGTTAATGTCTACCCCTACCCTAATGCTGGGATTTCTCTCACCCGTTCTTACAGGCCTGTGAGGCTTGTCCCTCTCAGCTACAAACGACTCAGGCCTGGGCTTGGTGGGAAAAAGAAGTTCACCAACAAGGAACTCAACTTTTTCGTGGAGCAGCTTAAAAGTAAAGCAATCAAATCCAGCAAAGTTTTGCTTGTAATTTGCTACGGTGTTGTTGAAAGTTGAGAGGCAAACACGTAAAGGAGGACGTGCCTATTTTTTTTCTTACACACTGACAACATGACTACGATAATAGAAAAGCTGGTTAATGCAATTGATGATTAGCATTGTGCAAAAGTTACCAGATAATTTCTAAACAGTCATTTTGTGGCCAATAAAAACCATATTCAATATAAAGCGCTACTCTTCCTTGATTTTGGCCAGGGTTTTAAAGCAGTTTCAAACTTTCTTCCATAAGTGATTCCGTGAAATGAAAGGCGATAATAGAAATTGAAATAACACAGAGTGAAGAATGAGATTAAAGCAATAGAGAAGCAAATACAGGTAAATCAGCATCCGTGAGCCAGAAATCCCCAGAGCCTTTTACGTTTCAGTTACCTCCCGGATTCCTG